CAATAACTACAAAAGTTATTCTCTGTTTACTGTGATCAAGACCAATCACTTAAATATTGTGCTACAATCTTTTACCAATGGTTAGTCAATTTCCATATAGATTGTGAATGTTTATCTTTATATTCTAAACGGACTTTCGAAATGATCTTTCTGTGCGCCGTAGCACACCATCTCGAATACTATTAGAATATTAGATTTATGCTTTTAATTAATTGACAAACAATCAATTAAATGCATTGAATACCCTAGTACAGATTCTCATAAAATGATAATAAACTATTTTATTAATTTAATAATAAAATTATGTAGATAAAAGCGAAACTTTTAGTCTACTATCCTAACAAGTAAATGCTAGGTTTTACCATAGCAAAAAGGTATTTGCTACGGCCGTTTATCGTAGCAAAGCTTTTGCAACGCATGTATTCGCTACGGAGAAAATTCGTAGCAAAAAGTATTTTACTACGAATTTGGTGTCTTACGCTACAAATTTGTGTGGTAGCAAAAAACATTTTTTCTACTAGTAGTACGTGTAGTGGGTTATGCTGATGCTGATTACCTTTATGATTCATATAAATGTAGATCTCAAAGTGAGTATGTATCTACTTGTGGCGGTGCCTCTATATCATGGCGTTCAATAAAGAAACATTAGCAGTCACTTCATCTAATCAAACCAACTCGTGAATGCATATGGCTAAGATCTCGGTTCAACATATCCTAGAGACATGTGGATTATTTCAAGTCACCAACTTTATTGTGTGAAGACAACGTTGCTTGTATTGCTCAAATAAAGAATGACTGTATCATAGAAAATCGAACAAAACACATATGGCCAAAGTTCTTCTAAACCCACAAGCGGCAGAAAAATGGCAGCATAGAAGTTCGGCAGATCCAATCAAGTAATAACCTTGCTGGTTTATTCATTAAAGCATTGTCGACCACAACATTCAAGAAGATGATCTACAATATTGGAATGCCAGCTTAACGATTTATTGGCAACATCAGAGGGAGTGTGATTAATAACCCAACATTGTAATTTTTTTATTCGTCTAAGTTTTTATCTCAATGAGTTTTTCTTGGCAAAATTTTAACGAGGCAGTTTATCACATATCACATAGTCATAGACGTCCAAGGAGAAATATTGTGTAACCTATGTTGGATGTCTATAGGAGTTAAAAAATTATTAGTGTGTGCAATTAGAGGTGTTAGTGGTGGATTTCAAAGTCATTCATTTTCTTATAACTCATGGCCATTTGAGCGGTCTTCTTTGCACTATAAAAGGAGCACTGTTGTATTGAAAGGAGCACTATGGTATTGAGTTCATACACACTTAAACAAGAATAAACTTATATACACACACTTGGTTCTTGCTCTCTTTGACTTTTCCTTTCTTGTATTTTTCTCTAGTTTTATAATAGGTCGTGCATAATTAGCATATAATAAGGATTATTGATTTTGTCATCAGTAGTTGGCAGAGAAAATATATCATGTGATCATTTTATTGATGACTTCTTCCACATTTTTTTGTTGCTGACGATTTCATCATCTATTTGCACATATTGTAGATTTGTTTCTCAAAATTGATGGATAACCAGATTGTGTAAATTTCATAATATTGAGTCACGTGCATTGATAATATTCATGTTTTGGAGAAGGACAATCTGGTTACTTTATTTGCTTTGGGACTCTAATATCCCACCGTGGACGCTGTTGTGTATCCCTAATCTCCTTTGGAATCTTAAAACTGATATCGATTGAGGTGAGCTATTTTTATTAATTATTTATTTAACATAAATTTAATAAAAAATCTTGAATATAAGTTATATTTTTTTTAATACATTATTCAAATATGAATTTTACAAAAACTACATTTGAATAAATAGAGCAACTTTTGTAAATTAGAAATATTCACCTATCACTTGTTTCTAGGGTAAATTACAACCACCCCTGAGGTATGATAAAACTAAGAACACCCCCCTCCTGTTTGGATAATTACAACAACCCCCCTCAACTATAAATTTTCTTACACGTCCACTCTTGCGGTTTCAAATTTAGTGGAATTTTCTTGATTATATGGAATATTATCACTTTAGTACCCATTTTATCACATTCGAGCTCCACATTTTGAAGCAAGATGATTATAAGATGTGTTTTTTTGCCTTGTATATAACAGATTGTGGTGCATTAGAAATTGTATTTTTACACAAAACGAGTACAAACTAGAGCACATTCCATGGAATCTAGATGATATTGTTGAATTTGACCATAAGGGTGGAGGTGTAAGGAGATTCATAGTTAAGGGATAGATGTAATTATCCAAACAAGAGGGCGTTTTCCATAATTTGACCATGCCTTAGGGGTGGTTATAATTTACCCTTTGTTTCTAATTAATTTGGAAATTGCAATTTTGAGGAGTGTATTATATTAAAGGGTTAAATACAATTTACACATCTAAAGTATACCCTCTGTGACACTTACCTCTCTACAATATCATTTGTAACACTTACCCCCCTCAGACACAATTTAATTTTTATTTTTAATTCTAATACATTAAAATTTTGAATTTTATAGACATGAATAACTAAAATAATAAATTAATTATACAACGAAAAATATCTGTTGAAAAATGCAATATTTAAAAATTTAAAAATATGGTGTCGGCCACATATTGAATAAATAACATATAATTGTTGTTGAACCAATTAATCGAATATATTCATATCGATAAATTCTAAGAAATCAATATATAACTAATAATAATCTTAAGTATCTAAATTTATTTTAATTCATTAATTTCTTAAAATACATTTCATTCATTATTAAGCAATATATATTACTTTTTAATTTTTTTTCTATAATTTAATTTTAATTAATTTTTAATTTTGTATGATCCAATAATGATTGGATTATTATGTTTACTATGTTTTAAATTTAAAAAAAAATAAAATAATTGATGTTGAGGGGATTAAGTATTACAAATAATACTTTAAGGGGACATGTGTTACATAGGCTATATTTCAGGAGTGCAAAGTGTATTTAACCCTATATATGAAATAAGAACAAACATCAAAGGGGCATTTATAACACCTTAAGGTGTATTTGGAAATTTCAGAAATTAATTATGATTTTTCTTCAAGTGTAAATACAACATACTTTTCACTGTTTTAAGGTTAATTTGATTTACCGCAATTTATAAGCTTTCTAACTTTCTTCTACACGCGCGATATATTTGACTTGAGCATCTTAGGGTAATCATCGGGACCACACGACATATCACCTAGATAGTGTCTTACTGCGTTGGAGGTCGACAAATATATATTTATTGTTGTATTACCTTGATCTTGGTCTTACGCGGTGATTCCTATTAACTAGTATATCTATCTATTCGAGGACCCTCGAACTACCACAGTTTGAGTGAAACATTATCGATCGTCATCATACAAATACCAAATAAATTAACTTAGTTTTAAACATGTATTGCACTTGATAATAATAATGTTGTTTGTTAAACAATTTGAATAAAAAAGATAAACATTAAGCCGAAAGAGAGACAACATTTCTATTGAACGAACGTGGAACAAAGAATATAATTATTACCAACTAGGCTTTAGCCTAGTGATATCAGGAGCCTCTCCTATAGTGGTGTTTGATGAGAGATCGGAAATTCGAATCTCATTAGGTGCGTTTGCTGGGTGTGTGCATTGTAGGACCATATGATAAGGCCAATTTAAAATGTATAAAAAAATATGATTATTACAAATAAAAGCGAATACGTTGTATAAATTGCAAAACTAGGAGAATTCTAATAGAACTAATCTACCATATCCTAATAACATTAACATTAATAAAAGTAGTCCTTATCCTAATAATATAATAATTCAAACATTGTTAATCAATAAAAAAAGACAATAAGAGTTTTGAAACAACGTTTGGAGCTAATTAGTAAGATACAAAATAATTCATTCATGCATTTGAATGAAGTTACAAAGTTAGGTATTGACAAAACTACACTGAGCACGCCATTGAACCATTAAGACAAATATTTAAATATTACGTCTTGATAGAACCATTCTACGTATCTGCTAATAATTAATCACATTTAATTTCTATATATTTTTATGTAGCTAGTCTTTGGTGGTAGGTTTTATTTAATTTAATTTAATTTGTCGATTATTTTAAAGATTGGTCTTAGGTTTACAACTTCCAAATTGTAGATGGGTTGTTGGCCTGATTCTGAAGACCAAACAACCTTCAACTTGCCACCCTGTTATTCTCACTTTTTAGTTTTTTGTTTCGATACACTCTTCAATATTATATTGACGATTATTATATATAAATATAAAACAAATTTATATTTAAAATCTCGAATATATATAAAATACAGAAATCAATTACGCTAACAATTTTTTTGAAATAGTATTATATTCCCCATCATCTTTCTCATTTGATTCATTTATGCTTTAATTATACATTGTGAATTATTTGAAATGCAATTTTGTCTATGTTCCTGTAATTAGTTTTCGCTCGAATGCTCAACTACATATCAAACACGTAAAAAAAAAAGAACATTTAATTAAAATGAATAAAACTGCATGTTCATGAATCATGATGAAAGGTATACCCAATGAAATTCAAAAAACAAAACATTAAAATACTCAGTGTGTTCCATTTTTACAATTAATTAGAATCATCTAAAAAAATCAATTAATTAGAAGCTAAGATTAATTATGTGACGATTACGAATTTGAAATCTTACTTTCGGTTGTTTATAGAAACGAAATCAAGTGTTTTATTTTACTAATAAAAAAAAGAAGCAGCTATGGGTGGCAATATGGTAAATCTGGAGAATAGCAGCCCCAATAAGTTAACTCCAAAACTACTTAAAGTGGCAGCCCGCCCGCCCGATTCCCATTGTCAATTAAACAAAACAAAACAAGACTCAATTGGAACTTTCTCTGAAAGACTTTCAGAAGCAAAAAAACAATTGACGACGCGGCAAAACAATGGCGAAGTATTACGTGGTTCTCCGCCTCCTCCTCGTAGCGGCGGCGCTAGTTCTCACAACCGTAAATGCCGGCAAAGACTACAGCTGGATGACTAAACCGGCAACCTGTGAGGGATCAATCGCAGAGTGCACGATGGCCAATGGTGGAGAGTTTTATATGGATTCAGAAATCAACCGGCACATATTAGCAACAACAGATTACATCAGCTACGGTGCGCTGCAGGCAAACACCGTTCCATGCTCCAGGCGTGGCGCATCTTACTACAACTGTCAGCCAGGTGCCGAGGCTGATCCCTACACTCGCTCATGCAGCGCCGCCACACAGTGCCGGAGTTAATTTTCTATTTCTGTCAATTCTTGTTTATTTTTCGTCTGGTACGGTGTTTCTTTCTTATGTATAAATACATATATGCGTGCAGTAAGAGTTGTATGTCTTGCTTGTTTGAATAAGTACTGGTTTTTCGATCTTGTTCAACAATACAGTGCAAATTAAATAAAAGATTCGCTTGTATATATGTTACTAGTAACATTTGCAATTACTGCTTGTATTATATTCATTCACATTTGTGTCCTACAAAAGGCACACAAACACATTTATGTTAGTGGTTAATTGAGATTACATTTTAATTGCATTTTATAGAACCAAGAATATATTATTACCACATAACAACCAGTATGCCTCAAATGTTATTTTGACCATTTTCCCTTCGTTAGTGTGCATCCAGTGAATTAATGTAATATTGGTAACCCGAATAAAAATAGGTTGCTATTCGAAATATTAGTTCCACTAACAGCATGTTTGGCTAAGTTTATAAACTTCTAAAAATATCTTATAAGATATTTAGGAACTTATAAGACCAACTAAAAAGTCCATCTAAACTTTAGTACTAATAACCCTAAATTAAATCGTGTGTGTAATTACTCATGAGTAAGCTTTTTCTTTCTCAAAATTTCGAGGACACCTATTAAAAATTGAATTTTAAGGAGAGATTATTTTGGTTTATAGTATTGGCCACCACTGTGTTTTAATCTAGGGGCCTTAGGATATAGGTCCCTAGTGACAAAACTTATTAGAACTAAATGACAAGTTCAACTAAACATTTGCTTCACATTCTTTATAAAATTCATTTCAAAAATGTCACTCCACTCATAAATTCGAAGTATGCATTAAGTAATAACCAAACTGTATTTATTATATTATTTATTATGCTTTTAATATTTCAAATTTCCATATGAACATTTTTTTTTACAGAATATCCGTTTATCTTCCTTTTTTTCTTTCTTCATTTTATCATTTTATACATTATTATAAAAACTTTTGTTTTTCTTTCCTTTTTTTCTACATAATATTGAACATTACAAAAAAAAAATTCTATTTTTTTTTTCAATTTACATATTTTCAATTTGTCTGTAGTAGACTACAATATACTACTGTGTACTATAGTATACTTGGGTGTACTATACTATAGTATAATACGGTGTACTATAGTATACTATGTTTTACGACCAAACCCTAGCCGCCAACAATTTTCAGCCGCCGCGAACCCTAGCAGTTACCGCTCGCAGCCGCCACGATTGTAGTCACCTACCGACTTTGAAAAAACCTAGATCCGCCATATGAACCCAAATCAAGCAATATCTCTTAAAATATAAGAAAATTAGATGCCATTAATTAGTCAAAATATGCTTTCAATAACACCGCAACCATAACCACAACCCCATGTCGTCGCCTCCTCCACCACGCCTCCACCCGCCGCCGCTGCCATCGCCGCCACCACGCCTCCTGCTGCCGCCGCCGCCGCCGCCTCCAACCCGACGCCCTCCGCGGCCCCAGCTCCTTCTCCCTCCGTCGCCGGCGGTGGCACTGGCCTTCATGCTGCTATTGGAGAGAAAGGAGAAAGAGAGAGAGAAAGGGAGACAAGAGCAAACGTGAGAGAGAGAACGATGAGAGAGAGAGACCGTGAGAGATAGAACGGTGAGAGAGAGAACGTGAGAAAGAGAAAACAAAAGGAATAAATCTAAATTGAAGAAACGTGAATGTATAAGTTATATGATTTAGGGTATAAGGGTAAGATAGGGATAAAAAAAATTAGGGATGTGACTCATATATTATTTCAAACTAAAGATTTAATTAAAAGATTGGATTTGAACTTGTCACTTAATTCAAATTATATTTCGTTTGAGGGGCTCATGGCATATAATCCCTTTAATCTAACATGTACTCCCTATTTCTTTTTTAAATGTCTTGTAAGGTAAATGAACACCAATTTATAAAGTTATTAAATAACTTTTAGTTTTAGAGTTTACATGTCTTTAAATGTCTTTCAAGTTTTATCGTATTTAACCATATTACCCCTTTTCGGCCTTTTACCTTATCTTCTGATTTCATTACTCTATTATTAATGAATACCAGCTCCGTGCTACTACATTATCGCGAGATAACTCCCTCGAGTAGATAACTCGATCAACTCTATTACCTCACGACGAGACAACTCCCACGAGGAGATAACTTGATCCGAGCTACTACATCGTCGCGGGACAACACCGACGACTCAAGTAACTTATATCGCGACGAATTGGTCGCGCTACGCGCCAACGCACCTTCACTCCCCTCCGACACACGCTCCAACGCGTTTTCGCACACCATTAGGCCATACGCCAACGATCGACTCCTACAATTTTTACTCTCGACACGATCTGACATCCATTTCAACATGGCCCCCACATCGACTCGAGAGTGGGGGGCTTAATGATATGCCTATTTGGGCCAACCCAATAAGCCTACAATCTCTTTACCTACGGGGCCACGAGCCCAATATTGAAGACCACTACTACCAAGACCCAATCACCTTCAAGTAAGGTTTGGGCCCGAAAATCTCCACTCAGCTATAAATAATCATTGGAACTCATTCCTTAAGGTACGTCCTACTAACTGAGCAATACTACAATTGTATTATGTGGACTATTTTCTATGATCATCACGTCTGACTTGAGCGTCGGAGGGGTTTCCGCCGGATCAACCCCCGGCTTAGTTCATGTGTTCTATGATCGCAGGTATCTCAAGGTCATCAAGCTCGTGAGCCAGTGATCCACTCGGCTCTTCCAGCTCATCCTACTTCAACTATCTAAGGTGATATATTTTTAGCATCATCAATATATATATATATATATATATATATATATATATCATTGAACCACAAACTGAATAGTTCTTTCGAGTACAATATACTATTCAAATATCAAGAATTGAGTTTTATACCTTAAATTTATATACTCGATTTAGACCTCAAGCCTTTATATTTGGTACTTAATCGTAAAATAATGGTACCTTGAGTGGGAAATACTCATTAACTCTAATATTCAATTTTGAGTATCATCACTTAGACCTTGAGTCTAATATATTCAATCGAGATATCTAGTCTTCAAATTTAATCTAGGCCTCAAGCCTTTATATTTAATATTCCTCCATATAAGCTTTCAAGCTTTCATATTTAAACTAGGCTTCGAGCCTAAAATTTATGAACTTCGAGTTCTTTTTCGATTGATGGAGCTTTTCAAGTTGCATAACCTAGAGAGCAAGTGATTTTTTTTTAATATACCACTCAAATCTTCGAGACACTTCATTGCACGTGCTCGATTTGGACTTCAAGCCTCAATATATAATAAAATTGTTATAGTACAATGATCATGAACGAATAGCACTATAAATGGGGAATACCCTCTAACTCAAATGTTCAAGAGTTTTATAATTTAGACTTAAAGTCTAATATACTCAATCGAGATTTTTAATCTCGTATGTAATATAGGCTTTATGCCTTTAATCGTCCCTTTTGTTTTTAGAACATTATGTTTATCTCAAAAAAATTAGCACAAGGGACAACTCTGGCAGAGCTGAGTATTTTAAGTATATCTCTCTTGATCGAGATCCGATTTTGATGATTCAAAATGTTCCGAACATCCAATAGAAAATTCTACAAGTTTCGTATTTTGCATTTTCTGAAATTCGGACATTATCAGGTCCAAATCAGACATCGAAGTACAGACTCGTGAATTGCACGAAAATTCACCTACAACAATATTAAGATGATTAATATTTAATCAATTTAAAAAAACAATAAAATATTTGAAATCAACTCCCTTTTCATCTTCCATGGTAGAGAAGTAATTATCTTCTTTGGATCATCTTTAATCGAAAATGAAAATAAAACAATCGTGTTGATAACGTGTTGAGAAACTAATAAACAATATACAAGAAGTGGAGAATAAAGTAGGGAGAATATGTAATATGTTATTCCATATCTTCAACTCTACAAAATACAATACATTGCACCTAATTTATAGGTGTAGAAAAGCTAGTCAAAGGTCATGAGTTACAAGACCTTAATGATGAATAATGGTGGAGGTAATGTGGGTTTAATGGAGAGTGTAATGCTGGTCATCCATAACCTCCAAGAATTCATAATATCTAGCTCTTTATAGCTATGGGGTCATTATTCCTTGCTTCCGCCAAACTTGAATCTTTGTTTTTGGATGTTTTCGATCTTGCTTCCGCGTAAGGTATTGGGTCTTGTAACAAGTTCTACGGGGTTCGTATCAAGATGTTGTGTGGTTCAGGGTGAAGTAAATGGGTATGAAGGGAAGAGAATGGGAAAACCGATTCAACAAACTTCACGTGACGAGATATAAACATTTTATTTTTAGAAGAATCATAACAAAAATAGGCACTTTGTGTGAGAGAGTACCCAAGGAAGATTCAAGATGTAGAGCGAGATTCTAGTTTATGGGAAGAATATGGTCGAAGCCAAGGGTAGCATAGGCAACCAAAGATCTTGAGTTTAGAATAGTTAGGAGAGGTACCAAAAATATTTTCAAAAGGTGACAAGTGATTTAATGTTAGAGTCGACATACGATTTATTAAATAAACAACAGTAATGAATGCATACGACCAAAAAGTTAAAGGAAGTGAAGCGTGAGAGACAAGTGTGAGACCAGTTTCGACTATGTGACGGTGACATCTTTCAGAAAAATCATTATGTTCCGGTGTGTGAGGTGGTGTTTTAAGGTGAGAAATACCGTGAGTGGCTAAATAGGAAGTTAGGCTAATATATTCGCCACCATTGTCAGAATAAAGAGTTTTAATTTTTCTGTCAAAGTAGTTTTCGACAATTGTTTTGAATCGTTTGAAGACATCGTAAACATCTGATTTGTGCTTGAGTGTATAACACCATGTATATTTTGTAAAATGATCAACAAAAATAACATAATATTTAAAACCATCATGGGAAAATACGGGGGAAGTCCACACGTCGGAAAAAATAGTTTGAAGAGGTTGGGTTG